TTTACTTTGTATCGCTTTCCTTGCTTTTCGCTTGAGGCCAATGGATGTTCCTTGCTTTAAAAGTCTTATACACAAAAATACTCCACCTAGAAAATTTATGCATGAGACATTACAAGGTCAGAGAGAGAGAGAGAGAGAGAGAGAGAGAGAGAGATTGTTTCGGGATAAAGATAATTTTGAGTAAATATTTATTATGTTATGAGTAAAATACAAGTCACCTACACAAACCCACTTACTCATTCCTACTCACTAACTCATTTTTACTCTTACTCTTACTTCCATCACTGTCTTCCTCACTCCTTAAAGCTCAGTCATAAATTAATTCTTCTCATTTTCTGCATTCACCATCAATTTCTCTGTCTCTCACTCTTTCCTTTCCTCTCTCTCTCTCTCTCTCTCTCTCTCTCTCAACGCTCTAATTCTCCCTCAAAACACGCAGTAAGAAGACCTTTCATGGAAGAGACAACCCCCCCCCCCCCTTATCTCATCCCGAGAGAAGGGCATGAACATCTCCCAAGTATGACTCCCCATAACACGTCGTCCTCGAGTGAGACTCCTTGAGGCTATCGTCCTTATCGTATTTCTTGAGATGAAAGTTGTAGTGCTGATGTTCGTTTTTTTTCCGTCATGTGTGAGCTTTGGTAGAACACACATTAGGGGTGGGCGTGTGGGCGTGTGTGTGTGTGAGAGAGAGAGAGAGAGAGATTGATGAGAAAAAATACATACAAAAGGAAAAATAAAAACAAAATAAAACAAAACAAAAACACAGAAAAACACAAATCAAAGCACACACACACACCTCACACACACACACACACCTCACACACACACACACACACACACACACACACACACACACAAAACACTAAGAAAATAAACAAAACAAGAGAGAGAAAAACAGCAAGAGAAAGAGAGAAAGAAAGGGTGAGAATAAAAAAGACAGTGAGAGAGAGAGAGACATCTTCATCAGGGAGAAAGGCAAGGGAAGAAAGTGTCCAGTGTTAGCCTGAGTCTTCAAGTACTTGTTTTGCCCGAGACAAGACGATGAGGAACCCACTTTCATCTCTGCCTAGGATTAGTGTGTGTGTGTGTGTGTGTGTGTGTGTGTGTGTGTGTATGTGTGTGTGTGATGTGTGTGTGTGTGTGTGTGTGTGTGTGTCTAGTATTTATGGTTGACTGACTTAATACGGTATTTATGGCGTGTAAATTTAATTAGAGGAATTTAAAAAAAAATAAAATAAAGATGAAACTTATTATAAAATACAATTAAATACTACAATAATAATAATAATAATAATAATAATAATAATAATAATAATAATAATAATAATAATAATAATAATAATAATAATAATAATAATAATAATAATAATAATAATAATAATAATAATAATAAAAATAATAATGATGATGATGGATTTTGATATTTAAAAAAAAATTAAAATACTAAAAACTTCAATACACAAGAAAAAACTATAATGATAAACAAAGGCAAAACGTGACTCTTGGACTGTGGCTTGATAGAAGGACCCACACACACACTCTGAACCCCTCCCCCCTCCTGCACCCCCATTCCTTAGTGCTGACCCCCTCCTTCCCTCACCCACATCTCAACCCCTTCTCTCACATCACCGACCCCCACCCCCCCATCACCCCCTCACCCACATCTCAACCCCTTCCCCCATCCTGACCCCCACCCTCCCATCTCCTCCCATCACCCCCTCACCCACATCTCAACCCCTTCTCTCACATCACCGACCCCCACCCCCCCATCACCCCCTCACCTTCATCACCAGACACTCAGCCCCTCACAGCTGCCGCCATTCTTATCTGCCCAGAACTTGCCACAATCAGTTGATGGCTTGAGGGCAATATGGCGTCTTTAGTGTGCGCCAATATACCACACAATCCTCTCCTTACTTCCAATATGCAGATGAAGACCGTGTGGGTGTGTGTGTGTGTGGGGAGGGAGGTGGTGTGGAGGAGTGGGGGGGTAGTGGGGGGTGTATATGGGTGGAGAAGGTATGTGTGGGGTGGTTGGGTATGGGGAGGGTGTATAAAAGACAGAAATGAAAGAGAAAAAGCAAAGTAAACAAGAAGATATAAGGAGAGACAGACAGACGGAATTCAGAGAGAGAGAGAGAGAGAGAGAGAGAGAGAGAGAGAGAGACTTGACACCTTCATGGTCTGAGTTTTCAGTTTATGTTGAGCCGAAGGAACATTATCGATACAGCCTTCGACACCTTACCAATAGAGGTGTTTTCTTTCACTTACAACAGGAGAGAGAGAGAGAGAGAGAGAGAGAGAGAGAGAGAATGAAATGGATAAAAGAAAATTACTTTCAAAATATTTGGAACACTTTCATGGTACAACAATGGTGGAGCCTCTCTAGTCCTGGTACAACAATGGTGGAGCCTCCCTAGTCCTGGTACAACAATGGTGGAGCCTCTCTAGTCCTGGTACAACAATGGTGGAGCCTCTCTAGTCCTGGTACAACAATGGTGGAGCCTCTCTAGTCCTGGTACAACAATGGTGGAGCCTCCCTAGTCCTGGTACAACCTGACAGAACGCCCATAACACTGACCGCTGCTGGCTGGAGTGTACACAATGGTTTTAAACAACAATTATCATCACTCTTTAGCCCCCCCCCCTCCCTTTAACAGCCCAGTTAGGTATTGGTAACGATGGTCATACACAGAGAAAGTCTATAAGGCGTTGGCAACAGTGGTACAGCATCTCCCACCCTTTTAGAGGATATCACACAGCGTTGGCAAAAGTGAAAGAAAAATTTAGGGAATAACCCATGGCAGTAAAACACACACACACACACACACACACACACACACACACACACACACACACACACACACACACACACACACACACACACACACACACACACACACACACACACACACACCGACGTTAGCAACAATGAAATCCAATTTTATCAAAGGCGTGACGACCCCCTCATCGTGCACTACCCTAAGGCGTTGGTAACAGTGGGTAGCAAGCAAAGGAACCTACCCTCTCAATAATAACTAACTTTACTTGTGACTCGTGAAAGTTTTTAACTAAATTCCACTTGTATTTTGGAGTTGGACACGGTGATATCCCCCCACCGCCCCCTTCTCCCTCTCTCCTTACCTCAGTGATCAGGGGAAGCATATCAAGACTACCATGGTCAGGGTGGTCAGGTCAGGAGACATCCGCTCACTCACAGTCAGTATACAGTCCACCCAGTCACGCACCCATACAACCCACACCTGGTAACCCCACACCCACACCCACGCCCCCTCTCACACACACCACCCTTTCCCCACACCCCCCCACACACGCAGGCAAATCACAACAGTAAAACGACATCGTAAAAGAGATAGAGACGAACCAGTGGGAGTCCCTCAAGAGAGTAGCTGTCGCCTTCACATATTAATATGTAAGATAGAGACGCGTCCTATGTCCAGACCATCCTGTTCCTGGTGGCGTGAGAGAGGGAGGGAGGGGTGAGGGGGTGGTGAGGGATTAGGAAGCGAGGGGGTGATGGGTGGTGAGGGATTAGGAAGTGAGGGGGTGATGGGTGGTGAGGGATTAGAGGGTAAGGTGAAGTGGAAAGAAAATAGGGGCATGGCACTGGAGGTGGTTAGGAACAAGAGGATTTGGGATGAAGAGGGATTGGCAAGACAATATAATACGTAGGGAGGGAATGAGGACAAGGTGACAAGAGTATATATCGATTGGGATTCCTGATTAGATGGGATTGTGTGAGGCTGACGCTGTTGAATCGCTTGGATAATACATATTGAGAAGGGATTACAGATAAGCTACTCAGATGCTCGAGGGATTGGTACAAGTTGATGGGATTGAAGGATTGAAACACCGAGATTGGAGGGAAAAAACGAAGAGAGAGAGAGAGAGAGATAAAACGAATGAAGGAAGAAAAAGAATAAAAATGATAAAGAACAAGAGAGGGAAGAGAAGGACGAACAAGAAAGATACGAAACAACATAATGAGGAATTAAAATGAGTCCGAATAAGGAGACGAGGCACTAATGAAGGGAATAAGAAGCAAGGAAGAGAAGAAATAAGATAATGAAGGCAAGAAGAAGCAAGGGAGAGAGAAAGAGAGAGATGGGAGCATTGGGTGTCCAGGAGGAACCAGCAAACCGTAAATACAGAGAGACCTTCCTATCCTGTGCTGGAAGGTTCTAATATATCATGTTACCGGGATATAGAACAGGAAGGTCTTGGGGGGAGGGGGGTATTTGAGGCCGGAGGTTATTCCTTTAACACGATGACCTTGCCTGTGACCTAACCTAACCTTATCAAGTAACTAAACTGGAAACTCTACACCTCCCGGTTTATTTGTTTTACCTGTATCAAGTCATTAAGAAAAGGTCTATTGAAACAGATTATGTCTTCACTGACGCAATAGTTTATTCGTAAAAAAAAAATGAAAATCTTATTATTAAACTGGAAGCATTTACAGCAATCCACCTCACCCTCCCCCCACCCCTCAAAAAAATAATAATAATAAATTCAGAGAAAAAATAATTGTATGTTCTGCAAATAAAATCTCACTGAAATAACTAACACTTTCTTGATGGGGGTTTACAACAATGGCGCATCTCTTCGTTGCCTCAAAATATACACACATATTTTACTTACAGTTTTGATACGTAGAGTTAAGGTGACTAACCATCACTCGAAGCAGCGGAACACATACAGTATATACACAAGTCTCCACACTGGACAGTAAAGGGCAGACACACAATGAACACAAGTCAAAACAGAGACAGTCATCTTATAGTGTAAAACAGATAGAAAATTCAGACTAAGTACCACAAGTGATTCTGTCCACTAATATTCCACACGTATTATGGCAGTGGATACGTCTACGTGAGACATTAACATAGTATAAATGTTCTGGGGAAGGAAGGAAGGAAGGAAGGAAGGTCACTACAGTAGTCCTTAAGGAAACACGCAAAAAGTTATGTACTCACAGTGTAGTAGTGGTGGACCTCCTTCGTGAAAAAGCAACAGCACTACGAGAAGGTGTGTCATCTCTCACTCTAGGCTCAGCCACCTGGAGGAGGGGCGTGATCCTGTCCACACACAGACTCTTGCTACGGTCACGTCGGGGTGGTGGAGGTGGATCAAGACTTCCTGGGGAGATGGACGAGTTCCCCGATTGTCTTTTCTCAGATCTAAATCTTGTAATGAGCTTCATGTCGAGACAGAGCATGATTGGGTGAGTGAGGGAGATATAGTGGGTACTGTTGACGCAAGAGGTGGTGGTCTGCTTCTCGTCCTCTCCACACTATCTTCAACTGGTGTCTTCTAGTACTGACTCATAGCCGCTGATAACACGTGTAGGAGATTGTTATTATCTGAGGGGGTCGATTGGTAGATATCGTCTCTCAGTCCCGGGTCAGGTTGGTGCAGATGATCGCAAGGTTTTTTAAAAAGGTCTCTCTAATGTCAGGGTCTCCATTATCTATCTTTAGTCTCGTCTACTGAGATCTCTACTCCTCCAGTGAGAATTCTCTTTTATATGTCTCTCAAGTCTCGTCTCATAGTCTTCGTATAATGTTTAAAGCAAGAGGTCGTCGTCTCCCTCCTAAAAAAAATGTCGTGTTTATCACTCTCAGTCTTGTCGTCTCATGGTCGTCGATTACCGCAGGAGTTAAGACGGCTCTTCCAACACGGTCTCCAGATAATACTTCCTCCTTTGTGTTGGGATCGATGCCATGTTGCAGGAATGGGCTTTATATCATCCCCGTCTTTGGAACGAGATGATGGTGGGAACATAGACGTTTGTTCCTTCTGTTCGTAGAGGAGATATATCCAAGGTTCCCCTCTGAGGTCCTTCCCATCCTACCAACACAAAACAAGAAGGACTCCCCCCAAACCTGTGTGTGTGTGTGTGTGTGTGTGTGTGAGACAAGGATGTGTGTTGGACTTCGCTGAGGGAGATGTGACAGGTACTCTTGGCCTCGTTCTCGCTCTGGTCTCGTTCTCTTTGGCCTCTGGCGACTGGGTAACGGAGTCAAGTCTTTTATTTTTGTTCTGATCCACTTGATGATGTTTCTTGTGAATCTTGGACGCCTGAGATGGAATAACATCGATAGATTAGATTACCTGAATCAATTAACCCTGCCTACCTGTAAATTAATTGACCCTGCCTACCTGTAAATCGATTAATCCTGCCTACTTGTATAATAACTGACCCTGCCTACCTGTACACTTTCCTCTCAGTAAGTATACAATTCCTAACAAGTGAGTCAGCCATTAAGAAACTTGAGATAAATGTTAATAACACGAAAACAGAGAAAATGTAAAATACCTCACATAATTTTACAAATTCTCAAAAGTCGAAGAATTATTACCGAGGATAAAAGTCTTATACATGTCTTCAAGAAACAGTATATAGTGCGAGTGTCTTATTAACATTTATCACCAGTTGAATGTCTATAAGGCTAACTTATGACGACTTAAGACATTGACTGGCATCATTACGCTCAACAAAAACTCATAAAAAAAAATATATACAAATCTGAGCCAACAGCCGAACAGAGGAGGGTCATGGCGTAGAGTCATACACAAACGCTATTGTTCCATCAAAGTTCTGAAAGAAGTTTGATTGAATTGGCAATGTATGGAGATTTGATATCCTTTTGTCCTGCCACCGCTCTAGCGCTCTCCACGATGTTGGGGCCGAGTAATCCACTTGGCCAAGGAAAATGTTTTTCTATAAAGTTATTACGAAGAAAAAGCGCCTTGAGGGAGGAGGGAGGAGGGAGGTGGTGGGTGGAGGAGGAGGGGGGAAGAGGTAAGAAGGAAGGAGTGTAGTGAAGGAGGTAGGAAGGATGGTGGGTACAGGAACGAAGGAAGGAAGGAAAGATAGAAGAAGAAGAACAAGAAAAATAGGGTGGGGGAGGGGGGAAAGCAAGGAGGAGGGAGAGGAGGGAAAAGAACAGAAATGAGAGGAGACGAAAGGGAAGAGGAAGGGGAGAAGAGAGGGAGGGAAGGAGAAGAGAGGGGAGGGGAGGGGGAGGAGAGTGGTTGGGGAAGGGGGGGGTAGAAGAGGTCCTTTGTCCCGCCCTTGTATACAGACTTATAGAACACCATAATGAAAATCTGCATCATTTACCTCATTCACTGTTTTTTTTCTTTCTTTAACCCAACAGTTGAAGGACACAAACCTCCTCCGATAATATACCATTTTTACCGTGACCACCACCGGGAAGAAATTACCTTCGTAGTCTTTAGAGAACGGCTATTCAAACTATGCATTAATAACTTAGAGACTTGTCAAAGGGACGCATGAATAACCGATGGACTTTCATCTGAACCTTGAGAGCCGAGATGAGGAAAATTGAGAGGGGAAAAAAAATAATGTTGAATAAAAATTTCCCGACATGCCTTGAGGCCGCTGACCGTAGATTAAGGCCCTGGTAAATGTGTCTTGGTGTGTCCTTTTCGTCAGGGGGGGGTTAAAGCCGCTGGATCGAGGCTTCAGTAACCTGTTATTAATGTTTTGTCCAGTGGTGTGTGTGTGTGTGTGTGTGTGTGTGTGTGTGTGTGTGTGTGTTTGACCCTGTATGGTTCGTTCAACTCATTGCTTCATTTCGTTATAAACTGGTTCATTATTTTATACACTGTATTTTGTTATGAATTTCAATACATTTAACGAAAACATTATAGCTCAGGTGCAATAAGACAATGGTTTGGTTAGGTTAGGTTAGGTTAGGTTAGGTTAGGTTAGGTTAGGTTAGGTTTCATATCGCCATATTAGTTTCCTTCAGTATTAAGTAGACTCGTTTTACTCGATTCAGAACATTGCAAAAATAAAAAAATCGACCTCATGTTAACCCACAAATTCTGGGATTTGCTGGTGACGATAATAGTATTGTTGTCGTGTTTAAACTATAAGTCCTGTGAAATCTTTAGTTTAGACTGGTAATATGACAGTCGGTGCTAATATTATGTCCCCCAGTCAACAGTCAGTACCTAAATACCATCCTCCAGTCAACAGTTAATGTCTAAATGGTATCCTCCTGTTAAACAGTTAGTCTCAAAATTATGTTCTGTCAACTGTTTGTCTCTGGAGGGTATTAAGTGATATTCTTTAGTCACCAGTCAGACAAATCAGTCAACAGCTTTCCTTCACCTGACAGTCAGTCGGTCTCTCAGGCGTCTGGCGAACATTCTCCAAGGAACAGATTAATGCCTCTGACGCAGTGAACTTTTGGATTATGGTAATATAATACAAAACTCTGGCCTGGGATTATGACTTTTTCTTCAGGTGTACAATATCCAACCCCCACCCACCCCCCACCCACAACCCCCACCCACCCCTCTCCCACCCCTCCCACAACCCCCTCCCCCACCTCTACAACCTTGCAAAAAAAAAAATTCCACTTTTTCCCCTGTTTTTTGCCTTCAGTTCTCACGCTACCCCTGTCAACCAAGGCGAGATACCAATGTTGTTGTTTGTTTTTATTTCACCTCCTTTGTGTGTTGTATTTTTAGGACAGTGTGTAATGTGTTTGTTTGTTTTTCTTTTATATTGATTTGTATTTTTTTTAGAGTGTCGTAAAAATGGTAAATGAACGAACAATCAACTTGTAAATAAAGAAATGGTTTGAGTGATATTTAGGTTAATATAAGTAGTTTTTTAATAGTTACACACACACACACACACACACACACACACACACACACACACACACACACACACACACACACACACACACACACGGCTTGGGACAATACACAGATAAAGGAATATTGCAATAGTTAAAAATATACAAAGAAAAACAGCCATACTATGTTATTGGACGAGAGCAATTTTCGGGTCTTCCTTTAGAGGTAGAAAAGAAAAAAAACAGAGGAAATTTAAAAACAAAAACAAAACAAAAACGAAATAGGAATAAGCGATACTGAGGACAAACAAAAAAATAAAAAAAATAAACAGAAACATACAAAAAGGAAATAAAAGTAGGAATTGGTGAAACAGAAATGATTCATGATTCAACAGATGACAGGAGATAAAAACAGATAACAGGAGATAACAGGAGATAACAGTTGATAACAGCATTATAGGAAAAAATTAAGAAAATACAAAAAAAACACAAAACAGACTCAAGTTCCTAATATGCAAATGAATTTTTATTAAGATTTACATTTCATTATATAAACATCGATATACATCTATACCTCAGTGTATATATTTGTATTTGTGTATAAATACCTATATGATTTTAGACTATACACAGGAAACAGGTATATATATATATATATATATATATATATATATATATATATATATATATATATATATATATATATATATATATATATATATATATATATATATATATATATATATATATATATATGTATATAGTGACAGATGGAAGCAATTAACTGGTATTTTTCACGAGTTGTGTTGCTGTGTGTGTTTGTGTGTGTGTGTATGTATTGCTGTATGTCAACCAACACCACAACAACAACAACAACTACCACACCACCCCAACCACCCACCCCACACCACCTCCCTCAACCGCGTGCGTAGTTGGACAAGCAGGACAATGACTCGTAAATTGAGTTTGCACTTGAGTGAATATGTAGATTCGTAGTTGACTCAGCCGCGTGTATTGATGAGGGAGCATTTCTCTTTCCAGACGGTGGTTGCTTATCTGATTCCACCATGACCATATCTTCTCTATTATCTATCATTCCCAATGTTGAAAATCCCAAGTCTCTTAACACCTATGTACACTGAATTCTTTATTTAAGGGACAATATGGCGAGGAAAAATCCGTTATATCAAGGGTCCGTTAAATGAAAAACCTCCAATTAACGGATTATATGGAGAGAAGTCCGTTATATGAAGGGTTTCATTATACTTATATATGTCCTTAGATCAAAGTATATAATGAAAAGATAATATTTAACGAGCTATAAAATAAAGCGTTATGTGACCCCTAAATAATGATAAATGAAGTGACAGGTGTTGTGGGTAATTAGTGTCAACACCTGTTACTGTAGTTTGTAAAGGGAAATGGAGTGATGGGGGGGTGGAGGGGGGGGTGTTGGTGTTGGGGATATTGTTGTCGTGTTGGTGAGGGTGGGGGCGACGGGTAGTGATGGTGGAGATATTGACGGTGTTGGTGGTATTGTTGTCGTGAGGGTGATGCAGGGTGGCGGTGGTGTCAGGGAGAGACAATAGCTTCAGGCTGGACGCAGGTATTAGTCAGGCAGGTCCCCCACAAACACCTGTATTTGGTCAGACAGGTGAGGTATTAGGCCTTGGGTGTGTGAGTATCAGGAACATTGTGTTGGTGAGGGGGATGACGGAGGAGGGGTGAGGGGTGGTGAGGGGGTGAGGGGAGGGCGATGGGGTGGTGAGGGGAGGGCGATGGGGTGGTGAGGGGTGTGGATGGAAAGGAAAGTAGGGGTGAGGTGGTAGAGAGGGAAGGGGAAGACAGTGAATGGGTAAGGTGAGGTGGCTGGGATGATGGGTGGAGAGGGAAGAGGAAGAAAAGTGAGAGGGATGAGACAATGGTGTACAGGAGAGGGATAGAGATAGTGAAAATGTCTTAACAATTTTGTAAACATTTTCTCATATACAATTATGAACTCGTACGTGTCACCAGTCATTAACCTACATGTGTGTGTGTGTGTGTGTGTGTGTATGTGTGTGTGTGTGTGTGTATGTGTGTGTGTTTGTGTGTGTGTGTACATAAATCTCCCTTGTGTGGCTGTATGCTGCCTTCTTCCCATCTCATCATACTTATAATATTACCTCAGTACACACCTTAACTAACCCCTCCTCCCACGCCCCTATCCCCCCCAACGCCACACCTAACAACATAATCATTAATTCGGCCGAGGGAGGAAGAAAAAAAAATCAAGTGTTAATCACCCTGGAACACCTGCCATCACCTGTAATGAGGCAAAACAATCAGGTACGTAAGCCATTGATGATTGAGAAGAAAACACTCAGATGAAATGTATTTTATTATCTCGTATTGTATCTTATGTTTGGTTAATGAGGTTCTCTTTCCCTCCTCTCCCTCACTTCCTCCCTCTCTGTTTTCCACCC